TCTTGATTGCTGCTCAGTAGACTGCCACATCGGACTGAGGGCTCAACAATCTAATGGTTAAGTCCTGGCGGAGGCAGAAGGATTTGAACGAATGGCAGCGGTGATGAGGGGCTGACAGTAGCACAACAGCAGTATTTATACCCGGGGAGTGTACGGCCCATTTGATGTCGGACACACACGCCGTTCCCGAAATGTCTTTTGAAGCACTCAAATTTTTTTCCCCCCCTTCTCCATTCATTCCATTAACCTTTTTCTTATGGAGCGTCTGGTCTCTTAAAACATGCCTCCGCTCAAGGTCACTCCTCCTACGTGCATACAGAGCAGAGCGTTGCCTTCAGCCACCCAAGTGCACGCGCGGCAGATGTCGGCAGCTCCAGTTGGGCCTCACATCCTTGATTAGACCCGGCCCCAGCCTGCTGGCAGTGGGGCCACCTGGCACCCAGGCTGCCCAGCAAACAGGCCTCACCTGTGGCTAGATGCTGTCTGTCCCCAGCAATGTGACGGCTATCAATGAAAAAAAAACAAAAAAAAAAAGAACCAAAGCCTCCTCCCCTGCTGCGCTTTTCACTCACTCTCGTTGTTATCTTGCTGTAATTCAAATTTTCAAAATGGTACGAGTGTTTTTTTTGGGGTGGGGGGAGTGCGGGGGGGTGAAGACAGTGCAGCGTTTTCTGAAGTTAATTTTCATAAATCTCTGAGACTAATCCAATTACTGCAGTCTGGGGAGGACGGGGCGTCGGTATTATCAAAACACAGCATGGATTTGGTGTTTCTAAGTTGGAGGAGGCTTGTTTGAAGAGCTCATAGATCCATTGTTGTCGGTGCTGCCCCCCCCCCCCCGGCCTCACCCTCCTCCCATTCTGCTGCTGCCTCTTCTTTATTCGTCTGCAGAATGAGCACGGGCTCAATAAATGGCAGCTAGCCCGTAATCTCTGTGCAAACTGGTTTGCGTCTCCGAGGAGCCCAGGATTATATCCTAATGATTAGTGTTTATCTGGATACTGTGTTTGGCTTCACCTCTCTGAGGTCGTGGGGGTCGAACAGGAAGTTGGCTTACGACCTTAGACAAAGGGACGGAATTTCTTGTTCTAAGTATCGGAAAGTTGTGTAGCGTAGAGCAGGGGTCACCAACGCGGTGCCTAGGGGGCACCTTAGGTCAACAAGGGTTTTACTAGGGGGCACCTTAGGTCAACAAGGGTCAACAATTTTTGAATCAGTTCCACTTGGTTCTTGCCACGATGGTAAGAAGTGTCTACCACTGTACGTCCCAGAACTAATAAGTGTTACGATGTTCAAGAAGTCTGTATCAAACACGTAGCTCTTCGAGTTACTAAGAGCTTTAAGTTTCAGAAAGATTAGTGCCCCCTGGTGTAGAGAGTCCGCACTGCACGACATGCGTCAGAGTTATTTGTAAACTCCACAGTTGTAGGTTTAAATCTAAGACAAACACCAAGTTTGCTCAACGTGTTTGTCAACTTTTCTTGACAAAGGTCAACGCTAAGGAAAAAGTTTTTTTTTTTTTTTGCGTTTTCTGTTTCCAAGAAAAATGGGAGTCTGAATTATTCATGGCATTAATTAGGCGGTACTTAATGGAAACGGTTTCACATCGGCCCTGCCCTGCTTCCAGCGACATCGCATTACGTCCTTAATACAGATAAATACTTAATGGCAGCTTTAATTAAATGTTTATACCTGTGATTCTTTTTCAAACCGAGCACTTCCTGTAGAAGTCTTTAAGATTCATGGATGAAAACATTAAATCACTGCTGGGTTTCACTGGTTTTAAGGAAAGTTAGTGAAATTCGGCGTGTCCTCTGAAGTTCCTCTGATGGTTAGGGAGTCCAGTGGAGGAGGAGCCCAGGGAATGGTTGAGGAGAGAGGCTTTCAGGGCTGCAGGGACGGTCCAGGGTTTCTCTGACTCGGTCAGAAATCTTCCTCCCCAGAGAGACTCGCTCCCTCGCACATCTGCTTCCAGTGGACACGAGGGGAGATGATGCAGGACCATCTGGTCAGGAGGAGACGCAGGCTGGAAAAATTGTATTAATTCATTATTTTATTTTTTTCTGATGCTGCCTTCACTGACACGCCTGTTCAGTATGGCAAAGCTCTGTATCAGCGCCTATCTGACCCCTGAGCAAGGTCAAGGATGATAAATAGGTGACACAACCCCCCTCCTCTAACCCCACCTCCGCCCGCTTTTAGAAGTATTTGAAATAGTAAAAAATAGAACAAACATGAAGTCATTTTATACATTGAAATTATTATTTTGACAAATAAAAAACTTCAGTTTCAATACTCGTACCGTACGATCAGACGGTTCTGTGTCACTTTTGACACATAACTGCAGGTGTTGGGGTCGTTTTCAGGCAAGTTTAGCAACGGCTACAAAATTACAGATATTATATTATTTTATTTATTTTTGTATGTTTTTCCTTTAAAGTGTCTTTCATCCTCACAGGGTTCTCTGGTTAGATGTCTCTCCCACTGTAGGGACGTTGTTTGTTTTTTCCTTTTTTCCTCCGAACACTAGCAACAGTCAAACTTTTGGCCTCTCTCTCTTCCTCCTGCTCTCTCTCTCTCTCTCTCTCCCCCCTCTCCCTTCCTCTCTCTTTCCTAGGCCTTTTTGACATTCTTCTATTAATGCATTACCATTGTTTTTTTTAAAACACTGACAATAGAAATCTCTTGACTCTTGATTCTAATCATCCACCACGAGAGTGGTTCCCAAACCGTCTCTGCAGCGCCCCCTTTTGATCAAGCCTGTGCTTGACAATGGTTCCATCACTGCTACTGCTTAAAAAAAAAATTCATACGTATATTATTATTGAACAATGTTAACAAAAATTTACAACACATTATTGTGGCCTATTATTATTGAACAATGTTAACAAAAAATTACAACACATTATTGGGGTCCACCCCTTATTTTGACGTTTGCTTTGTAGATTTGTACCCCTTATTTTGGGAACCACTGCACTGGGGTCTAAGCAATTCTACATTTAGACATTTATTTAGACAAATCTCCACAACGTTTGCTTTGTAGATTTGAGTTTTAATTTTTGCTTTTCTGCCTCTGACTGTTATTATATAATTATTCTCACCCTTGTTTTATTTTCACTCTTTTTTTTCATTGGTCCGTGTCACTGGGTTGTGCCACAGCAGAAATAGACCGTCCTGGAGGTGAAAAAGGCTTCAGAGATAAAGTTAGAATGTTCAGAACTGCTATGCGACAAAGTCCTTGCTCTGTTTACAAGCACCGGGGAAAAAAATCTGTAAAAATAAATACATTTTCCGGGGGGAGTGTAATATTTCGTCCTTAACTGTATACGTTCAGAGGCAGAAAATATATTTTTGGCTCTTGTTCCTCCGCTCTCCCCACATCCATCATCCTCCCTGCCTGTGACCTTGAAGTGTCTGGAGGTCACAGACCAAAGCGACAGAGGTGTGAGAACGCTGCAGAAACTCTGGGTGGTCTGCACGAGCAGAGGGGCACACAGGGGGCGGAGGAGAGCAACTGCCCGCCGCCTCGGGGGTGTTGAGAGGATCGGCGGAGAAGCAGAGCGGGCAATAAGAGGTGGCAGCCCACACAGCAGATGTTGGCCAGTTGCTGTGCGGAAGCGGCACGTCTGTGGGTTCGCTGTGCGTGTGGGGCACACCCAGAGGGAGGGGCGGGCGGCGGAACGTGCCTCGGTTCTCCTGTCATCCTCCACAACGCAGGCCAGATTAGATTGGAGCTGACAGCGGAGGATATTCAATTAGATTGTGCATGTCACTCAGTGGCTTCGATCAGAGTCTCTCCTCGTGCCTTTGTGTTCGCCATCGCAACAAGGGAGAACGCCGCGCGCTCTTGTCTTTTTGTGTCGCTTCCATTTATGTTGACCTCCAACTCTGGACTTCTTCATTATTTCTTTCATTGAACGTAACATGCCAAATGTCAACATTACAAGGGCATGTAAATCCCCTTGATTTGCATTGTTCCCAACGCACATGCTAGGTTTGTGGTCTGACCTAAAGAAACCGCAGGGTTTGAAAAGGACAAATAACGACGTGACGTCGAAGACGAGCTGATTCCCCTTAAATCTGAGCGCTTTTGACCGTTTCCTCTGTCATTTGTCGTTTGCAGGGAAACCAGCAGCACGTGCAGCAGTGACCCCGGCCTCTTTACCAATGATGAAGGAAGACAAGGTATAAAACCGATCACCACCTCATCAACTGTGGGGGTAAAGATTCCAGCAGTAAAGGAGCGTTCACAAGATAGATCAGAGTTGTGTTGGAATCAGGAAGTGAAGGTTTTTGACCACGATGGTGTGGATGCTGGGCACCCAGGCGACTCTAATAAGACGTTGTCATGTCGTGTTAATGAGCGCTGAAGCCTTTGCTAATCTCATTAGCCGCGGCAGAGCCAGGCGGCCTCAGATTTAATAGTTGTCACTACACCTTGACTGTGAGAGGCACGGTTCCTGACTGTGATTCGCTGACTGACAGGTCCGAGAGGAGCTGGCCGTCCTCAGAGCCAAGGGCTGCGGCTGACAGAGCGGCCATGTTTTTTTTTTCAATGTAATTTTACTGTAGCGACCGTGAGAAAAGCTCCTGTAACATCTTGACGTGTCCCCGATCGTAGGTGACGACGAGCAGAGCGACTGGTTCTTCGAAGGCGACTGCGGAGCTGGGACGGGCGTGGCCAGTTTTCAGCTTTCCCTCGAGGACAGCCGGCCGCCACCCACCTTTCTGCTACCAGTGAGACCCTCCAAGAGAGGTAACCTGGGATTATAATGGGGGTTTACAATCTGCTGTTGGTCATGTGACCTGAACACTGTCGGGAGTCAAGTGAAGCCGAGATTGTTGTTTTATAAAGTGTTATTTATTAAAGCTGAATTTTAAACATATAAAAGAATAAGAATATATCAATCAATCAATGTTAATTAACCTTTAAAATTAAATCTCAATCAATGTTAATTAACCTTTAAAATATATACATTTTACATAAATAAATGTTCATAAATACTGACTTTGAACTTTCACCAGTTTTTCATAGGGAAGTGAGGGAATATTTACAGTCAACCATAATATAATAAAATTTAAAATTAATTTAAGCAATACTGTATTAATACTATAATATTATAATACACAATTTTCTTTAATTATTGATCATATAAATATTTAAAATTAAATCAATTTTTTTTTCTGTTTTTATGAGTAAACTGTTCGGAAAAAAACAAAGCTGTTGAATTTTATTACAAAGTAAGTAATATTCGTGGCGTCTCCTGTTGTTCAGTTTAACAGCTACTGTACTTCTGTCATCACAACATCCTCCACCTCCCCCTCCTCCCACCTCTCCCCCCTCCATTTTCCACTTTCACCCTAACCAGCTGAGGCAGATGGCTCCGCACTGCGAGGATTTTTTATTTTTTTTTTAATCCTTTTCTGTAAAATAGTGATTATCAACTGGCGGCCCATGGGCCAAATCCGGCCCGCCAAACCGCCCAATCTGGCCGAAACTGGATTCCAAAACAAAATCACATAATTTGTAAGATTGTGATGTGAAAATGTGATTTTTAGTTTATCCATCCATCTGTCCATAAAAAGTTTGGCCGTTGCTGTTTAACATTGTGATCTTTTTTGTCTTTATTAAAATTATATTTAAATATTTTTTTAGGTTATCATTCTCGACTTCAGCAGCTGCCAGCTTCTGCCGCCTGCTGCTTCAGGAAGGACCGGAGGAGGATCGGCAACAGGGTCAGTAGACGCTTGAGTGGACGAGCAGGTCAGAGGGCAAAGGTCAAAGGGCTCATGTGTCTCATCGTTGTTTGTGTTTTTGTGTTGGTGGAACAGAACAGCCGGATGCCAGTTTTGGTCAAAAGATTGAGGCAGATCTCCCGAGACCCTTACCATCGAGAGTAAGAACCGTTACCTTTTCAACCTGCCGTCGCTGGTTCTGTGTCGTTTCTGTCCTTAAATCCCACTAATCACAACACTTCCTTTTAGCTTTTGGCTGCCCTCTGTTGGGAAGCGAGACAGAAGCCAGGTATGTGGAAAGGAAATTGTTTCCGCCTTCTGTATTTGTACTTTTTTCATTTTTATTTTATTTGTTTTCATACTCGTAATTGTCCTTGATGCTTTCCATTTTCCAGTTCAGCCCTTTGTGTCCGTTACCCGTGTGTCCCATCGACATGATGTCAGAGAGATGTCCCTCCTCAGTCTGCAGAAACAGGTAGATGATGTCATGTTGAATTCAATGGTTCAACGCAGTTCACATGTTGAAGGATTTCTTGAATTAAACGTATAATCCTCAGGGATTAAGGCAGTGTCGGAATCACCAACATTTATGTTACACTGACACTGTGTAATACAGTGATAGAATTTACATTTTTACATTTTCACTGTGTTATAGAACAGTGTTTCCCAAAGACTGGGCCGCGGCCCACCTGAGGGTCGCGACTGTATACAAGACTATATACTGTAGGGTTCAATTCCTAGTCACCTACTGAAGTGATCCGGTCCACTGTGGTAAAGACTCAACCATTACTCTAGACCAGTGTTTCCCAAACTTTTTTCCTGGGGAGCCATATTTTAAAAGTCATAAACCTTTATAAGACATTATTCGTCTGGGGGAGCCATATTTTAAAAGTCATAAACATTTTTTAGACATTATTCGTCTAACTCCTGGGAAACATGATGCGAGACGACCCAAAAAAAAATATCTCTTGCGATCCACCTGAGGGTCACGACCCAGTCTTTGGGAAACAATGCTCTATAGCAGGGGTCATCAACTACAGTATGTTTGTCACAGGGCCAGAAGTTTTCTGGACAGACACCTCGGGAGCCGGACATTCAAATAATATTAAATAAAAATCACAGTTTTGTCTAATGAAGTAACAAGTAGTCAGTGGTGGGAGCAGATTACATCTACTTGATTACATTACAGTACATCTCCGTCTTCCGGAAAGTCCTTCTCCAACTCCATCGTCCAGCCTCACTTGAACTAATGTCCACTGTGTCTTAATCGTCCACTGATGCACAGTGTTACGTTGGACAAACGTCTAAAGGCCTTGACAGTGAGTCAGGATGAAAATAAGACAAACAACACGACAGGAAACGCTTCTTACGCCCAACATCCTGAAGTCAGAGAGCGTTTGAAACAAGACGCCCGGGACGTTTTTCTGACTGTCCTCACAGCTGCGTCCACAGGAGGATTTCTCCGACATGGCCCAAAGTTTTGTCTAAAGTAACTTTTCAAGGTCACTGTTTCCAAACAGACAGAAATGCTACGTGTTGATATCGTTGTGATTCAGTTTCAAATGCCTGCCTTCCTAAGACGGCAGCAAAAAAACATGAAGAAGAAGAAAAAAAAAGATTTACCTAAAAGATATTTGTCAAAGCCTCACATGGCTCCCAGTTAGCCCTGGATCTGTTGGATCTGGATGGAGGACTGTGGGGGACTACAGAGACGAGGAGCAGCCCCTCGGCCTGGAGACTGGGGCTCTCCTTATTGTATTGTTTCCACTTTGCCTATTTATGATGCATTCTTAATTTTGCCTTACACACACACACACACACTACACACACACTCCCTCTCTCTGGGGTTGTTTCACAGAGCGCCTCGGCGCTCCTTGATGAGGGGCAAAAACACGACTGCTATGAAAAGCCCCTGACTTCTTAGGGCTTTCTTTTCTAAACTGGCCCTTTCTTCTCCACCTGAAAGGTTCCTTCAGATTCCAGTTCCAGGCATTGTGAATACTAATTTCTCTCTATTAAAAAGCCCTCATATCCCTGCCATGCTCTCATTTGAATGGTGGACTCGGGGGAGACCTCTTAATTCCTTTATAGTGGGATTCAAGACCCTTCACTTCAAAACGTATAAATCATACTCCCAAAGGAATGACTGAGAGTGGAGCGGGGG